CATCCAAAAACAGTGGTAGCTTACAAGAGGTCGGACTGCTTCGACGATTGTTCAGAGAGGCCCCATCGACAGTTACGACCAGAAGAAATGGGGGAGATAAGTGAAACACAGGACGGTTACCATTTTCATTTTCGGGGAAATGGGGGAAAAGTGAGAGAGAAAACAATTGTTTGCTTTTCATTTTTTGTTCTTTATTTTTTGGATAAATGAATGCCACGTCAGTTTGTCAAGGAGTGTTGTACGTCTAGCAGGTTTGTTGAGGAAATAGGTGACTCAACGGATTATTTGATCTTGAAATATGGTATGATCAGATGTTGTTTTGGACAACGATCACAAGCCTACCGAGCATCTAATCAGGTGCATGATGACATGAAGCATGACTCGAGCAAATGAAATTTAGTATTCAGTTTTAATTCTATGATTACTCATAATTAAGCTTATGTGCAGGTCAAACCCAACCCCTTCTAAGTTGTACTTTATTTTTTTTATATTAATAAAACATGTTACCACGACCACGATATCAACACGCACATTTTACATTTTAATTACTTTTCGACATAATAGTAGTTAAGGTAAATTAAGAAGATTTAAGTCCAATAATTACAGGAGAGTCATATTTATTTAACTCTCTGGAAATTATTGTACAGTATCTGAAAAGAAAAGAGGAAACATCGGAATTTTCATTTTCGTTTAAGAGAGAAGCATTTAATTCTCCGTCATTTTGGACAACATGTCCTATATTGTTAGCCTCAAATTTGCATTTCTTTCTTTATTGCCGTACTCATATGAAAACTCTGAGAAAAACGTTGTGAATATATATATCTTGTGTAGATCTACGTTATCATTAATGAAATAGACAAGTACACTTTATGAAACATGATAATAGAGATAGTAACGGGACGGGTATGAGATAGGACGGGTCGACCATTCCCACCATCGCCTCATTGAGTATTTTTGTTACTTTATCCCCTCTTTATACCCATTTAAAATGAGATGGGGAGGCTTTGGGGAGGGATGGAGGCGAGGCGGGGCGGGGCCCCTGCCCCATTTAACGTCCCATTTATTTTTTCTTTTTATTATTTATTTATTTTATTTTGTACTTTTATTTTTTATATCTTTACTCGCC